CATGTTGACAAGTATTAAATATGTCATTAATGAACATGCTAAATAGTAATGGTCCCATAATAGAGCCTTGGGGTACACCCGTTGTTAGCGGTCTAAGTTTGGATACTTCATAACTAATTTTTACTCTCTGAGCTCTGCCGGACAAGTAGCTTGTCATTAATCGGACAGCAAGTTAAATAAACCCAAAGTAATTCTTAAGTTTAGAGCAAAGTAGGTCATGGCTAACCGAGTCAAAAGCTTTGGAAAAGTCCAAAAGGCATAATATAGTGTCAAATTGTTTTTATCAAACGATATCCGTATGTCGTCAAGTATTTTAATCATAGCTGTGGAGCAGCTGTGTTTAGCTCTAAACCCTGACTGAGATGGAGACAGTAACCTGAATTTGCTGAGATTACAATATATTTGTTCAGACATTAAGGACTCAAGTACTTTAGACAAGACAGGTAAGGTACTAATTGGACGGAAGTCACAAGGACTACATGCAGATTTATTTTTAGCGACTGGAATCACTGTTGCCATCTTCCTAGCATCAGGGAAGCATGAGGTAGTAAAACAATGGTTAATGATGTGAGTCAAGGTAGGTAAGATGGAATGAAGTCAGGAATGAAGTTTTGTGGCATGAAATCTAGCTAAATAACTGCTGAAGTAATCGGACAGCAGAATATAATAAGATGTTTTTTTAAAAATCACGACGACTATAGAAATATGGTGCCCTATATAAGCCTCAAAAGAGTGGGGCAAATGACATATCCAATAGTTAGCTACTAGGAATAGCATGATTTACCGTAAAAATTGAAATGTATTTGAATGTCTCTGTCATAAGTAAAAGTTCACAATAAATAATAAGTTTTGGTACTTAAGTTGAAGAAATAGATCGCTAAACCACAACCCAATCTATGGCACGAAAATGCGTTTTTAGCATTTTACAAAAAATAAAAAATTTTGTAGGAAGAATTGAAAAACGCAATTTTCAATGACGAAAGAAACTCCAATATAGTTGATCCAGATGCCTACCACAACTTGGAGAGTCATTCGGCTTCCATGGCAAACCTGTCCTTGGCGAAAAGGATCTTTGGTTTAAAGTAAAAAGCATATAGCTTTGGAAAACAAATAAAATCTTTTCACTATGGGAAAAATGAATATCAA